AAAAATAATAAAATAATAATAATCTTTTTTCAAAAGATTATTTTCACATAAGCTTTTTCAAAGTTCCTAGAAAGGCTGTATTTAATGGATGAAATGTGCTTGCTGCTTGGTAAGTTAGAAGACTGCTGTTCTTTCCTTTAGGTGCTGAAGAAAGGTTCATAGATCTAAAAAATTATAGTTTGGAATATTTCTAAATTATAATTCCCAATATTTACTGAAGATTATCATTTCTTTTCAAAGCATTTTATTTGATGAACACCTCCCCAGCCCTCAACCCTGAATTTGTATTTCCTTTTCAGATCTATTCATTTTTATTTTATGTGTGAATATTTTGCCTGCATGTATGTAAGTGCACCACATGCATGCAATGTTTACGTGTTGGATCCTCTGGAACTGGAGTTACAGATGGTTGTCGGTCACCACGTAGGTGGTGGGAATTGAACCTCGGTTCTCTGGAAGAGCAGCCAGTACTTAACTTGCTAGTCCCTCATTTCTCATTTTTAACCTAGTGAAAATATTTAGAACCTGCCAATTATCACTGCATGATGGAGAACTCTTCCTCTTTTTTCTGTTTTTTGAGACAGCATTTTGCCATGTACCTCAGACTGGTCTCAAACCTAGAATTTTCCTGCCATACTCTCCTGAGTATGGGATTATAGGCATGTGCCACTGTGCCTAGCTGTTCTCCAGTTTGTTAATTCCCATAATCTTCTTTTTTTTTTTAAAGCTTTATTTATTTTTATTTTATGTGTATGCAAGTATTGCCTGCATGTAGGTAAGTGCACCCATGTCCTGCGATACCCACGGAGGTCAGAAGAGGAGGCTGTCGGATTCCCTGGGACTGGAGTTATGGACAGTTGTTAGCTGCCATGTGGGTGCTGGGATTTGGACCCAGGTCTTCTGCAAGAACAACCAGTGTTCTTAACTGCTGAGCCATCTCTCTAGCCCCTCTTAATTTCTTTGTATTTGTCTGAGTACTATTTTACAATCCTTTAAAACCCACTTCAGCAAAGCTTGTATGGACTTGCATTAAAATCTCCAGGGCCAGTTCAAGTAACTGACATCAGATGCAGTAACCCCAAATATGGCCTCAAGTACTGGACAGGTGACAATTAGGGTGACCCACCTTGTGAGCACAGTCATCCCAAGTGTCCCTAGTAAACAAGCTCACATCTGTTTCCCCTTGGAGTGCCACAGAACAAGGCCTGTAGTTAATAAGGCCTTATTTTGTAGTCTTACCTTGAGCTTAGTTCTTTCATTCAATAGCATTAAAATATTGTCTGCTTTGCCAGGTGTGGCAGCGCACATCTTTGATCCCAGCACTTGGGAGGCAGAGGCAGGTGGATCTCTGTGAGTTCGAGGCCAGCCTGGTCTACATAGTGACTTCCAGGACAGCTGGGGCTACAGGGAAACCCTGTCTCAAAAAGACCAAAACAAACAAACAAACAAAAAACCCCAAAATATTGTCTGCTTTTACTTCTTTTTAAAATATATTCATACAGCAATATAGCCTTTTGCTATACTGTATAGCCAAGAATAATGGCTAAGTTCACCAAGGTTAGGGTTCAACCTATTAATTTTTCTTGAGATGATAGAAAGTTTAACAGACCTGTTCTCCAAGATGTTCCCAAGTCACCTCACCATATCTCCACGTTGGTATTATTTAAGTCTGTATGTTAGAGCTAGTATGTGTATTTAGCCTTTCTAATGTCACTTAAATCCCATTTCTTTCTACTTTAGCTAAGTACAGTAAACTCTAGTTCCCAAATAAGATAGTGGTGAGTGTAAAGTTGACTTTTTCCATTTCTCACCAAGCAATAAAGGTTTAATATACAATCAAAACAGCCAATGCATGCTTGCATTGTTAAAAATAGTATTTTAATCTTATAATTTAGAAAAAAAATGAGCTTCCGGCATGTAAGTATTCTATCAATTGAACCTAACTCTTCTGTTCACACACTGATGTCATTTTATGACTGCAACATCTACAGTATGTCTTCATGCCTCTAGAGGGGAGCGTTTTCACCTAGTCAGCAATCAACACTGAGGAAGGCATTACATCTTCAAGTCTAGGATTTCCTTCTAGGTTTCTGTGGTGGTTAGCACTGTCAACTTGTCAGGCTCTAGAACCATGTACTAGACAAACATGTGGGCATGTCTTTGAAGGAGCTTCTAGCTGGGAATAATTGAGCTAGGAAAAGAGGTCTTAACTGTGTGTGGCACCACTTCACAGGCTAAGGTCCTAGACTGAACAAAGACAGCAAGCTGAGCAGAGGCACTCACCGCTCTCTGCTGTGCTGCACCCCCAAACTGTGAGCAGATTAAGAAAAATAACTAATACAGCTTCAGTCTTACTACAACTGGTGTTTTTGTGTTGTTACAGTGGTAGTGCTAGGGACTGAGCTCAGGGCTTCACACTTGCTGCCTCTAAGCTATACCTCCTGTTTGACAATTCTGTTTACATACAGATTCAGGGAAAGGGGAAAAGAACCATCATGTGTGAGTATTATTATGTGCAAGACTCTTCTTGTCTGAACCACACTGAGAGCTGGAAAAACGTTAAAACTTCTAATCCTACCAAGCACAAGACTCTAGCACTACAAACTAATCAACCAATCAAACAAAAAACAAAAACAGAAAACAACAAAAAAATCCTGTGCTTTTTGAGTAAGGATTTGAATATAGTTGGAAAGCAATTTGAAAGTTGCTTCTCATCAAGCAGGAGTCTTTTTAACAAAAATGTTTCTGTAAAGCAGCCATTTTATACTCTGCCAGCCTTCAGAGGACGTGCTTACTTGGGGTTGATCTCTGTGAGTGCCGGGTGTTTGTTGCTGTTCCAGACTCTGTAGTTGTGAGTGTTCTTCCAGGCTGTAACGAAAGTTGTCCCATAGTCTGATAACATCTTTTCATTGTCTGTAAGTAAACAGGGAAAGAGGTTGAGCTGGACTGCAGTTATTCAGGGATGAAGGTTAATAACTAGAAAGAGTAAAGGAACGGTTTTATACCCCACCTCCCACTTTTTTGGAGGTGGGAGATAGCCTGTCAGATATCAGGAAACTTGGGTCTAGTTCCCAAAACCTGTTAAGAAGCTATGTGGTCTGTGGCAAGTCATTTAATCACACACACCTTCATTTTCCTACCTGGAAAATGTGAGGGATTGAGCCAGATATTTTCCAAGGTTTCCACATTCTCCTTATAATTATGAAGATAATATTACTTATTAAACAAAAACTACAGACTTGACTGTGAGAGAACATGCTGATCTAAGCATAAGTCAAAAGCAGAATATCTTAGCAAATGTCATTTTCCTAAAAGACTAAGAAGGAATATGTAAACTGGCTCTTTATTTTTTATTTTTTGGTCTTTTTAAGAAAGGGTCTCCCTGTAGCCACAGCTGGCCTGGAACTTAGTATGCAGACCAGGCTGGCCTTGATCTGCCTGTCTCTGCCTCCTAGGTGCTGGGACAAGCCGGCTCTTTTAGCCATGTTTTTCCTTGTTTAGACTTTGTCTCTTTAATTGATGCTTCATGCTTGATTTTCAAAGCATTTCACTGTTAAAAATATGTACAACGCCATCGGGGGCTTACACATTTACTGCTGAATAGCTTTCAGCTTTATCAATATCATGGAAAAGCTTCATGCAGGGCACTTCTGCTTGGAAGAACAGAAAAGGTCGGTTCAAGATGCTATTCTTCACATTTCTCATGCACGTGAATTTGCTGTTTGTTTTGAGATAGGATCCTGCTTGTACTACAAATTCCTGCTATCTCCCACCATGGCCTTCCAAACAAGTGGTATTTGAGGTATGTGCCACATGGCCTATCTAGGCTGTTTGCTTTGAAGGTCTGGGAAAGGAAGAGCAGGAAACACACAGGTGCATCTGCACGTAAAGACTTGCTTCTACAAAGTATTTCTGAAGCAGCTACTGGGCTCTGAGCTGTCTCCTCTGCTGACCTTATGAAGAGTAGGGGCCTGAGCCAGATCACTTAGGTTTAATTAAATTCTAGCTCAGCCTCTCAACCAGATAGATGAGCAAATTATTGAGTATTTCTTCGCCTCACTCTGTCTATTGTAAAAGGAGAATGTCTAGGATTATTTTAAGTACAAAATTAATTACTAGAGGTAATGTGCTGTGTCGTGCAATGCCCATGGAGAACAGAAGAGACTGTCGGATCCCCTGGAACGAGAGTTACATTGTTAGCTGTCATGTGGGTGCTGGGATTCGAACCCCAGTATTCTGCAAGAACAGTCAGTGTTCTTAACTGCTGAGCCATCTCTCCAGCCCATGTTTTGTTTTGTTTTTTAAGTTTAGTTATTGTTATTCAGTGTACACAGGTAGCCCCCTGGGAAAATATTTTAAAAAGTAGATTACTCATGAGGCCAAGTAACTGGACTTCTTTTCAAGATTAATGAATAAATTTGAGTCACAAGATTTAATTTGAGTGCCCCTGCTACTGTATTTGTATGGGTAATAGACATTTAAAAATATCCCACTATGTGGGGTGTGGTGGCACATACCTTTAGTTCCAGCACTTGGGAGGCAGAGGCACAGGGATCTCTGAGAGTTTAAGGCCAGCCTGGTCCACATAGTGAGTTCCAGGCTACAGGGAGACCCTGCCTCAAAAAGACTAAAAATAAAATAAAGTAAAAATCTCACTAGTGATTTCAAACTTGATTACTAGTTTTTCTTATAAATGAAGAATAAGCCGCAAACCTGAATTCACAGTTAGCCCAGCAGGCAAAGTGGCTGCACCGACTAAGAAACCTTCCTGAAACAAGGATGCGAATGAAGTTGATGCCACTGTGGCCCTGGACATTCATTTACAAAGTATCAAGAGATGGTAAATTTTAAGATGTCTCAATTATATCATTATTTTTTTTAAGTGGTGGTAATGATAACTGAAGAAAAAGATCCCCAAATCCACTTTTGGATTTTTAAGTTACAAGTCTACTGAATATTTGCCAAATTTCCAAGGTGAAAAAGCTCATTGCTTTTTAATATTTCATATATATTCTAAATATACATCTTTTTCTAAATAGAATGAAACAAAGTTATAATATTTAATAGTTAAACCTGTCTTGTTTTAACCATTTAATAGGAAAAATATATGTCTCAGAATGGGGTAAAACTTAAGATTTATAATTTTCAGAATATGATTTTTCAATGATTCTTTTTTTATATATCTTTAGATACCTTGAATGTAAGCAATATTTATAAATACTTGGTAAATATTGATACAGCCTTTCATACAACAAATACTTAGCAGTCAAATAAAAGTGACAAAAATCAATATTAATGTATCTTTATGTTTCTGTTATAAAGTAAGAAAAAGTAACTCTCAGAAGACATGTTTAAAGGGATTCACTTTTTGTAAAAAGCCTATATAAAACCAAAGTCCTCAAAATACAAAGTACTCAAAATGTCAAGAGTAGTTGTGTCTGTATGAGTAATAGATATTTTTCTATAATTATGTTTTTCTTGTGCAACTGGAAACACCTAAATATCAGAACATGAAGAATTTCAAGAAGAAATGCGGCTGTGGTTTCTTACCGAACTGCAGTGTGGCAGCCAGCAGGGCGTGGATATAGACTGCAAACTGGGCCCGGATCCATTCGTCACCTCCCTCCCAGCCTGTGCCATCCAGGAAGACATCATCCCGGTTCTCAGTCACGTGCCTTACGAGGTAATCTGAGAACCTCAGGTCTGCAGTGGTCGGGCTGAGCAGCTTCCTGAGTTCTGGGTCATGGATCTGGATCAGAGCTTCTTCTACCTAGAGGGTACCAGGTATAAGTCAGATCCAGACCACTCATATGCAGCCATGTCACATTTTAAAGAGTAACATCTGAGAAGTTAGAGCTGGAGATAAATATGACTGACAGTATTCTCAAAAGATGAGTCCATGAAAGAGAGGTCTTTAAAGTTTCTATATATTTTCCCTATTAAAAAAAATGCTCTTAGTCCGGCGTTGTGGCACATGCCTTAAATTCCAGCACTTGGGAGGCAGAGGCACGGGGACCTCTGTGAGTTTGAGGCTAGCCTGGTCTACAGAGTGAGTTCTAGGCCAGCTGGGGCTACAAGGAAACCCTGTCTCAAAAAGACTAAATAAATAAGTAAAATTTAGAAAAATGTTCTTTTTCCACCAGGCTTGGTGGCACACACCTTTAGTCCCAGCATTCAGGAGGCAGGGGCAGGTGGATCTCTGTAACATCAAGGCCTAGCCTGGTCTCCATAGCAAATTCCAGGCCAGCTGAGGCTACAGGGAGACCCTGTGTCAAAAACACCGAAAAATAAACAAAATAACCAAATCCTATTTTTCTATTTTTAGAAAAAACATATAAATAATACACTATTTTGAACCATAAAAGTAATATTTGCTGCCTGTAAACATTTTCAGGCATATCAATACACACACAATAAAAACTGACCTTTATCTCACCAGCAGAAACAAACAAGCTTAATTATAACTCCTTCAACTTTTTCCATTTTAAGGGCATGGATACATCAGAATTTTCATTTTTATAGACAGGGTCTCACTATGTAGTCCTGGTCCAGCTTCCTACAGTTTAATTTTCAAGTATAATAATGAAACACATTCATCACCCAGCTTCTAAAGTGTAGAAGCATTTTGTATTTCTCCTACCCATATTCTCCTGTCCTGATGGTATACATACTTTTCTTTCTTTCTTTTTTTTGGTCTTTTTAAGACAGGGTCTCCCTGTAGCCCCAGCTGGCCTGGAACTTGATAGGTAGACCAGGCTGGCCTTGAACTCAAGAGATCCATTTGTCTCTGCCTCCCGAGTACTGGGACTAAAGGCAAATGCCACCATACCCAGCCTGGTATTCACATTTTCCTTCATTCAAATTTAGGATCATAATAAATACAATTTTAAATCTTGGATTTTAAAATTTATATTATAACCATTTCCCATGTAACATGTACTTTCTGTCGGTAACTACAAAAATCATAATGCAGCTAAAAAATTTTTTTCAAGCGTTTTTCAATTGTGAAATTAAACAAATTGAAAATTTTAATATACTGATATCAAATATCTATTCTGAGCATTTATAACACCAGGAACATATTAAACAGGCTAGTAAAGTTTAAATTATTTGAAAAATAAACAATAAATTACTGAGATCATGGTAAGTCTGGTTTGCTCATGTTGGAATGCTGGCATATGCAGTCACCACTTGTTTGATATTGGGCAAATCACTTAACCTGTGCTCTCTAGCTTCTGTAGGTGCAAATGTAGATCACATCTATCACATAGGGCTGTTAAACTAGATCAGTTAATATAAAGCATTTAGAATGCCTAGTATACAGTAAACAATTACTTTCCTTATTAAGTGCTGTTGGTATACTCCACAGTTCTATTTAGGAAAGGAATAAGGGACCGGCAGGCCATATACATACACTCAGACATAAACATACTTCCACAATGGCGTCACTGAGGTGCTTCTGTTGTCGAAAAAGGATGTTAGTAGCTCCAGCAACAAATCCCCGAACAGCGACATCGGAGAGAAGGTGATGCTGCTGCAATGCCATATAAGGCAAACATAGATATCCCTACAGATTACAAGAGCAACACAGAACATCAGAACAGCAAAACAGCAGCACTTTTCTTTGCAAGCTCAAAGCAGGAAGGATAACAGTGAAAGAAATGTCCATTCTTGCCTGCCTGTCCTTATGGAGGTTACTCTTTGACTCACTAAAATAATATTCCAGGGCAATCTCAGGTCTTGACTATAGTTAAGTCCAGTTACTGACTGGCTTTCTCTACAAACAGCCCATTCTTTGCATGGTGGTTTAATATGAGGGCTGTCTTACTTGATCACTTTATACTTGGTTCCATTTAAAAGTATCAATAGTGGGGTTGGAGAGAGGGCTCAGTGGTTAAGAGTAATGACTGGAAAAAAAAAAAAGTACTGACTGCTCTTGAAGAGGACCAGGGGTCGATTCCCAGCACCGACATGGTGGCTAACTACTATCCCTAACTCCAGTTCCAGAGGACTCCAACACCTTCTTCTGACTTCTATGGGCATCTCACGACATGGGTGCACTTATACACATGCGCTCACACACATAAAAAGAGTAAATAAACTATTTTTTAAAAAAAGCATCAATAGTAACTAATAAGTTGAACATTTTTATGTGGACGAGTGCTTAGCCTATATGTATGTAAATGTGTGCAATGCCTGTGGAGGTCCAAAGAGGCCATCAGATCCCCTGGAACTGGAGTTATGAACAGTTGTGAGCCTGCCATGTGGGTGCTGGGAACCAAATCTGTCTTCTGCAAGAGCAGTCAGTGCTCTTAACTGCTGAGTCATCTCTCCAGCCCCTCAGTTTGACATTTTAATATAGAAAAGCAAAAGTATTACAATCATTAAAGAGTATGTTGTCTTTAAGAAGTTTAAAACATGCACATAGCTGCTGAAATACTATTACAAGAATAGCAAAGCATGACATTTATTGTCATACTGTTAAAAATCATGGAAAAATATGTCCAAATACTTGTTACTAACTAGTTAAAGTTGCACTGGCACTATTTCTGCTTAATTCCATGTGAATTATATTTGAAATAGCATTTCCTTAAAATTATAGTTGACTGCTAAACCTCAGCACTTATTTAAGTATGCAAAACCAATCAATCAACCGACAGCAAACCCAAAATGCCCCAACATACTTCCAGAAACTTGAAGGTGTGATCATTGGCAATGTTTATGTATGAAACCAGGGCTGATTTTCTGAATTCCTGACCCTGTTTTTAGCCTCAGGTCATATATAATGACACTTGCTGAAAACCTATTCTGATTTGGAGCCTTTCAGCAAAAAATTTTGTATCTTCTGTCCTAGTTTGGTTTCTGTTGCTGAGCTAAAACACTGACTAAGACCAACCTGAGGGAAAAGGGTTTCTTTTATCTTACTAGGTCACACAGTTCATCACTGAGGAAAGTCAGAGCAGAAACTCAGCAGGCCATGGAGGAATTCTGCTTACTGGCTTGCTTCTCTGGTCTGTGCTCAGCCTGCTTTCTTGCCTGCTCAAGGGTGGCTGGGCCCTCCCACATAACTAACAATCAAGAAAACATCCCCACAGACATGGCCATAGGCCAATCCAAAGGAGGAAATTCTCGAACTGAGGCTCCCTCTTTCCAGGTGTGTCAGGCTGACAAGATGCTATCCAACACATCTCTTTAGGTGAATACTTAGCCTGGGCTACATACAAAGAACTTTTTTTTTTAAGATAGGGTCTCACTATTTTGCCCAGGCTGGACTTGATATCAGATCTTCCTGCCTCTGCCTGAGCTAGCTAGGATCAAAAAGGTGCACAACTACCATTAAGAACTTTGTCCTGGCGGGGCGTGGTGGTGTACGCCTTTAATCCCAGCACTTGGGAGGCAGAGGTAGGCGATCTTTGTGAGTTTGAGGCCAGCCTGGTCTACATAGCGAGTTCCAGGACAGCTGGGGCTACAAGGAGACCCTGCCTCAAAAAAGACAACAAACAAACAAACAAACAAAAAAGACAACTTTGTCTTGAACAAGTAGCACACCTATTCTTTTACCTAATATTCTGCGTAAATTTATCCTACAGACATGCCTGCTTATCTGTGATATACTTTTTAAATTATTTTGAAAAAACCTAGGTGCCATGAGGCCACCTGATAGGAATGCCTGACAAGAGGTCAAGCATTAAGAAACTAGCTTATCAGAAAAACAGGACGTAGTGGTCAAGCCATCTGCATCTGGCAATCCCCGGGGCTCGATACCAGGAAATCAGGAGAAAAACCTCTGTGTCCCTGAGGTCACCTCCCATTTAGCAATCCCACTTCCCCTTAGCCCCGACCCTTACCCCATATTTCTGTGTGCTTTTGAAATTACTCTGTGTGTTTTTGAATTAACCAATAACCGCGCTTCTGCTTCTGTACCCTGCTTCTGCTCTATAAAAGTGCAAAAACCCAGCATGGGGGCGCGCAAGTCCTCCGAGGAGACTTTGTGCCCACAGGTACCTGTGTATCAAATAAACCTCATGCTGTTGCAACCCGAAGACTGACTTGTCCTCAGTGGTCTCACTCTTACAATTGGAGGTCCCACCGAGATCAGCCGGTCAGAGGGAACCACCAGGACAACTCCAGTCCCTTCGGGGAGGTGAGTTGGCCGGCCAACCTCAGTGTTGTCTCTGTGTCCTGAGTTGTCTGTCTTTTGTCTGTCTTGTCTGATCCTGTTAGGCAGCGTCTGTAGAATTTGGAATCTGAGATCTCGTCTGTACTTTTGGACAGGGCAAGAGCAAGACGACGGTCTTTGAGCTTTGCCTGTCGGCCTGGGGGACGCCCCAGGGTCTGTGAGATCCACATCCGTAGAACTTTTTGTTCATTTGTATTCGTGGATCTCGTCCGGGCAAGGGACGTGGAATCCCCTTGTCGGACGTCTGGACAAGGGACGTGGAATCCCCTTGTCGG